ATAAAGAAAGACATAAAAATTAAGAGAGAGAGAGAGATCATGCACTGAGGCAACATGGATGGACCTAGAGGATATAATAAGTGAAATAAGTCACACAGAGTAGGAAAAGTGCCATACGATTTCACTCGTATTTAAGAAACAAACCAAAGAAAAAGGGAGACAAATACAAAAACACACTCCTTTTTTCAATATTTGTTTATTTTTGAGAGACAGAGTGCAATGGGGAGGAGGAAAGAGGGAGAGGGGGAGAGAGGGGGAGAGAGGGGGAGAGAGGGAGAAAGAAACTGAAGCAGGCTCCAGGCCCAGAGCTGTCAGCGCAGAGCCCAACACCGGGCTTGAACTCATGGACTGTGAGATCATGACCTGAGCTGAAATCGGACGCCCAACTGACTGAGCCACCCAGGGGCCCCTAAAATACACTCTTAAATACAGAGAACAAACCTGTGGTTTCCAGAGAGGAAGAGGGTGGAGGAGGTGAGATAAACAATTAACATAGACTTATCCTGAGGAGCACTGAGTAATGTATCAATTTATTGAGTCATTATATTGCACAGCTCAAACTGGTAAAACACTGTTAATCATACTTCAATCAAAAAGGGAAGAAAAAGGGAGTGGCTGGGTAGTTCAGTCAGTTAAGTATCTGACTTCAGCTCAGGTCACGATCTTGTGGTTTGTGAGTTCCATTCCAGCACTGAGCCCTTGACAAGAGCTCAGAGCACAGAGTCTGCTTCAGATTCTATTTCTCCCTCTCTCCCTCTGCCCCTCCACCCCCCCCCCCCCCAAAATAAACATAAAAAAAAAAAGCCTTCACAGGCCTTTGTCAGAAGTTCCCAAACTTTCTTAGTTCATGACATCCTTGTCATATCAATAATTTTTTTCACAGCATCCCTAGGTCAAAAGAAACACCTAACGATTTATTAAATTGGCCCAGACAACTTAGTAATTATTTATGTCCTAAAGATTTAGTAGCTATTTGAAAAAAATAATACACATAAATTCAATAACTTTTTTTCTTAACTGCAGAGTATTCCATGGCTTATTCAACCTGTGTCCTGTACTTCAGCATTTAAGTAATTTCCAATATTTGTCAATTATCAATGATGTTATAATGAAAATCTTTACATATGTGTGTCTTTGTATTGTTGGAGATAAATATTAAGGATAAATGCATATATAAGACTTACTAGATATTGACAGATTCCTCTCCTTAATGGAGCTCTACTATTCTGAATACCTTCCAGCAGTGTGTAAGAGTGCCGCAGCCTCACCAATGGACTATATTGTCAAGTGTTTGAATTTCTGCCAATCTCATAGGTGAGAAATGGTATCTCACTATAGTTTTAATTTGTAAATTGAACATTTTTTTATATTAAAGGGTCATTTTTTCACATTTTCAAGTGAAATGTTCATGTTACTTGCCCACTTTTAAAATGATTTTTGGTCTTTTCCCCTCAGGTTTTAAAAGTTCTCTTTATTTAAGAATGTTAACCATTTAGGGGCTCCTGGGTGGCTCAATCTGTTCAACGTCAACTTTGGCTCAGGTAATGATCTCATGGTTCTTGGGTTCAGGCCCCACATCGGGCTCTGTGCTGACAGCTAAGAGCCTGAAGCCTGCTTCGAATTCTATGTCTCCTTCTTCCTCTGCCCCTCCACCGGTCGCTTGTGCTTGCTCTGTCTCTCTCTCAAAAATAAACATTAAAAAATGTTTTAAAAATGTTAACCATTTAATTTTGATGTATGTTGCAGATACTTTGCCCAGTCATCTTTTGGCATTGCTTATTGGGTTTTTTGGACATAGGAAACTCTAGTGTAGTAAAATATATTAATCTTCCAATTTATTGCATCTGAATTTTTAGTCATCATTAGAGAGTCTTTCCTTATTCTCGGGTAATTCACCCATGCCTTCTTCTAGTAGTCTTACAGTTTCATTTTCCGCATTTAATTTTCTGATCCAGTTGGAGTACATTTCTGTATATGGTGTGAGGAATGGATATAATGTTAATCATTTTCTACATGCTATCCAGTTGTGCCAGTGCCATTTATTTTTTAAAAATCTTGGTTCCCTTATCATATACTAGACTTTATATGGAGTTCAGTGTATTTTAGTCTGTTGGGCTGCTCATGCACTAGTGCCACACTGTTTTAATCATTGAGGTGTTGTGTGTGATTTAGTGTCTGGTGGAGCGGCTCCCCATTGTAACGCGTCCTCTTCCATGTGGTCTCTGCTAGTCTTGCGTGTTTTACCTTTCCGTATGAACTTTGGCATCAGTTTGCTAAGTCCATTCATTAAAAAGCTCATTGCTATTTTTATTGAGATTGCATTAAACTTACAATTTAACTTAGAACTGATTTCTTGATGGTGATGTAGACATCTTAACCTAGAACAAGCAATGTTTTTTCATTTTCTTTTTTTTTTATTTATTTATTTCTAGGAGAGAGAGAGAGACAGCGTGAGCAGGGGAGGATCAGAGAGAGAGGGAGTCACAGACTGAAACAGGCTCCAGGCTCTGAGCTGGCAGTCAGCACAGAGCCCGATGCGGGGCTTGAACCCACGAACCGCGAGATCATGACCCAAGTGAAAGTCGGACGCTTAACCGACTAACCCACCCAGGCGCCCCTGTTTTTTCATTTTCTTAAATCGACTTTTGTGTCCTTGGAGAAAGGTTTATAGTTTTCTTCATATAAGTTTTGAACATTTCTTGTTAGGGTTTTTCCTAAGCATTTTATCTTTTGTTGTTGTTGCTATTATAAATAGAGTTATACATTATATCTTCTAACTGGTTGTTATTCACGTACATGAATATTGCTGATTTCTGCATGTTTTCCTACTACTTTGGCAAAGTCTTATTGTTTGAGTTACTTTTATCATTGCTTCTTTTAGGCTCAGATACGCTGTCATGTCACCTGTAGAGATTTCAATCCTTTCTTTTCCAATGGTTATGCCTCTAAATGTTTATCTTATCTAATTGCATTGATTAGTATCTGCAGAACATGTTAAACAGCGATATAACAGTATCTTTAATAAGAAATGCTGATTGCTTTATTGTATCATTTTTTCTGTGGATATACAAAAGTGTACATTCTGCTGGATATTACCTCAGCTGTAGAAGTGTCTTGCAGAGACGCTGTCTCTGTAAGAGATACTAAATGGAGATGCATGTGGTGAGAGGCAGGAAATACCGACTTCCCTAGTGGACAGAGCAAAGTACAAATATAAGCAAGATAAGGCCTGATACAGTTTCCCAGTTCACACAACCAGTCCCAAGTTTTGTTCTGAACTTTATTGCAGTCTTCTCTCAGCCAGTCCTGCTTGCCATAGGGTGACCTCCTTTTCTCCTCTAGGCTGAAGCTGCCATGGGTCTGTGACCATCTAAGGATTCCCTTCTAGGCTTTCACAGTCTTTTTTTTTTTTTTTTTATGTTTATTTATTTCTGAGAGAGAGCGAGCGAGCCCGCTGGAGCAGGGATGGGTCAGGGGGAGGGAGGCAGACAGAGGATCCAGAGCTGCACTGGCAGCAGAGAGCCTGATGTGGGGCTTAAACTTACAGACCATGAGATCGACCTGAGCTGAAGTCAGATGCTTAACCAACAGAGCCACTCAGGAGTCCCTAGGCTGTCTCAGTCTTAAGTGGTTTCCTTGTATTGTAGACAGATAAATTAGGCTTACCTTTTTATTGATGCAGTCATGGCTTGGGTCCTTGGGTCTGTAGGTCATATAGCAAGGCAGCTTTATAATTAAATGAGCTTACCCCTGAGAGTGACCTAGAGTACACGGATGTGGGGTTGTTCCAGACAAGTTTGTAGGGCCTGGATCATCTGTTCTTTCTCCAGAATTCGTTTTTGAAGACCCCGTCTTCTAGCTAGAAGTGATGTGTTTGTGTGGAATCAGGCATCCAGCGTACGTGCTGTGCACATGTCAATTGTGGACACGCACCAGTGCTGCCTCCCAAGTTCTAGAGGTGCTTTCATTCCACTGCCGTCTAATGCACCCAGAAAGCTTAAATAGCACGTTTTCTGTACATTCTTATAATTTCACAATTATCTAGTTCATTTGTGACCTTTTAGTCCACATCCTGTTGTCTGTCTTTGTCATTCTAAGCTTTTCCTGTCCCAGGAGTGCTGGGAATTAACTTCTTGTCGTCTGTGCTGAGGTGCCCTTCCCTGCAAGTCCCTACAACTCTGGGTCCGTGGCCTGTTGTCAGTCTTCACGGTTCCAGAAGCACTGGTAGGCGGGGTGTTTAATAACTCTCTGTCCCCGCTTTGAGGAGCTCTCACTCACCAGCCGTTTGTCCCTCTCCACTTTTCCTGGGACCCCCGTTGCCTTTTTCTCTCTGGGTCATGTTGCCGCACTGGCGTGCAGTTTGTGGGGTGCCTTGCCGTGAAGACCCTCAAGTCTCACCCTCGGGACATCAACCCACCGGCACCTCGATGGCAGATCTTGGGCAGGAGGCTGGTTTTTCTTCTCTTCCTTTGTCTTCTCCCACCCCCACCTTTTAAGTCTGAGGACATCCTGTCCCCCCGCGTCCTTCTGCAGAAGACATTTGTCTGTGACAGAAAATCTCCATTCCCGGAGGTCTCTGGCTACCCTAGTCTTAAGGTTTGGATTCTTGGTAACTTTCCCACTACTCTGTTAGTCTCCAGGGTCTCCCTACCTCACGTGTCTGCGTCATACGACTAAGATAATTCTCTCTGTCTTTTATTTCATTTATTCTCATTTACTGCTGCGGGTTTTAGTAGCTTTCTTAGTCCTTCAGAATAAAATAAAACTTGGTCATGTGCTCTGCCTGTCTCCTTTCATCATTTGCTTTGGCTTAGATCATAAAACCCATTCTTGTCTCTATATTTTGTTTTGTTTTTAAAGTTTATTTGGTTACAACTGTTTAAATTCTTTGTACAGTAACTGGTCATTTATATTTTTTATTCTATGAATGGTCTTTTTATGTCTTTTGTGTATTTGAAGGGCATGGGTACTGGATTTCTTGTTTAAATAACAGATTTATTGAGATGTAATTCACATATCACAGAAGTTACTCTTTTAAAGTTTAATTTAGTGGTTTTTAATACAGTCACAGAATTGTGCAGCTGTCACCATTATCTGATCTGACAACATTTTCATGACCCCAAAAAGAAACCTCAGGCTCATTAGCCTTCCCTCCTGATTCCCTCCACCCCCAGCCCCAGGGAACTACTGATCCACTTCCCATCTGTACAGATTTTCCCATTCTGGACATTTCTGGATTCCATAAATGGAATCCTACAATATGTGATCTTTTGTGTTTGGCTTTTTTTTCACTTAACATAATGTTTTCAATATTCAGCCACGTTGTAGCATGTATCAGTACTTCATTCCTTTTTACGGCTAAATAATGTTCCAGTGAATAAATATAGCACATTTCGTTTATCTGTTCATCCATTGATGGACATTTGGGTGCTTCCACTTCTTGCTTATATTGGATAATGATGCTATGAAAATAGATGTACGTGTTTCTGCATGGACATGTGTTTTCATTTCTCCTGGGTGTGTGTGTATATATATATATATATATATATATAGGAATGAAATTAGTTGGTCATATGGTAACTCCACATTTAACATTTTGAGAAACTGCCAAGCTGTTTTCTAAAGCACCTGCACCATTTTACATGCTTCCTATTGGCGTATAAGGCCTCCCAGTTTCTCTGCATCCTCACCAACGTTTGTTATAGTCCACCTTACTAATTACAGCCATCCTAGTGGGTGTGATTATCTTCTTTCATCTGCTAGAATACTTTGTCTAACCTGCCCTGTGTAGTGAAGTAATGTACATCACAGCATATCATGTCTTTTTCTTCTTAGACATTTTAGTTTGAGGTCCAATTCCAAAAATGTTTTCTTTATTGTAAAAACTATAAATGTGGCTTTTTGTTAGAACTTCTAAGTAAACTTTGGTTTTGATTCATAACAAGATTTCTGTTTTACATTAGTGTGTCTGATGAGTTTCAAGCTGTTACAATTTTCAGTTGTTAAAAGCACACTGTTACGAATTGTGGCATAACAAGTAGACAAAGTGCCTAAGTTAGAGAGTGAAGGGAATCATTCATAATGAACACTGACAATGTTTTCAAGAATCGTTGGTGCGGCATTGACTCCAACATTGAGGAACACCGATTATAGACATGAGTAACCCAGAATGGTGCTAGGTTTACTCCTGTGTTTGTATCCTTATTCTTACTGGGAAGATAAAGAGTGTAACTGACTAAATTTTTAAAAATGAAACTGAGCACTTTTGTGTACATGTTCTCATTTGATCTTAATACCAGCCAAGGCATATAGGTGGGATGGGTGCTCTTTGGGAAGGGAAAATTTATTGACCTTCATTCAAAATGTTTTATTGAATGTACCTATAACTTAGAGATTTCCACATCAACTAATAAGTATGTTGCTCTGTCTTAAATTATTTCAAAAAGTATTGGTTAACATCAGAATTTTCATAAAACTCTAACTTGTTCTCAGCATAATTATTTTATTTTTTAGTTCTCATTTGTTCCCTGTTATTATCTGCATCTTAACAGTTATAGAATAGAGGTGGCAGTATCTATACCTCAAATATGTGCCTCTTTCTGAAATACATAGAAATCTGCATTGGTGATTCTTTTACAATTTGGTTATCTTTTAAAATGAGAGTGCTCTTCCCTGGACCCCCAAGTTTGTATTTTGAAACATTTCCAACTTACAAAAAAGTTTAAAGAGTAGTATATTGAATGCCTGTATTTCCCAATTGTCCTCTCTTCACCAATTACTGATTATTATTTTGCCGTATTTGCTTTATCTAAGTATAGTATAGATGCTTTTATTCTTCTCTAATTTGAAAGAAATTGGAGACCTCATGAAACTTCGCCTCTGTGTACTTCATCTTACATCTTCTGCGAATAAAGGCATTCTCCCTTATCATCATAATACTGTTGTTTAACACGTAAGGAAGTTAGTAATAATTCCATAACATCATCTGTTATGTAGCCCAGATTCAGATTTCTGTAGTTGCCACCGATTGTCTTTAATAGCTGTTTTTCCTCTCATCCAGGGACCAGTCAAGGTTCGTGATTTCTGTTTGCTTATTATGTCTCCTTTCGTCTCTATTTCATTTTTTCTAGTTAACTTTTTCGAGATACAATTTACATATCATAAAATTCACCCATTTAAGTTTACAGTCATTTTTAGTAACTGGTTGTGTAACCATCACCAATATCCAGTTTTAAAACATTTTTGTCACTTCAATAAAGTTCCTTTGCCCATTGTAGTTAATCCCCATTCCTACCTCCAGCCCCAGGCAGCCGTTAACTTATGTTCCATCCCCACAGATTTGCCTTTTCTGGGCATTACTATAACTGGAATCATACCATGAGAAATCTTTGGGATTTTTTTTTTACTGAGCATAATTGTTTGCCGGCTCATCATTTTTTGGCATGTGTCACTAATTCTTTTCTTCTTATTCGTGAATAGTAGGTCAGTATTCCAGTTAATGGATATACTGCAATTTGCTATCCATTTTCCAGTTGATGGACATTTGGATTGTTTCCCTTTTTTGGTTATTATGAATAATTCTGCCATGAACATTCATGTGCAAGGCTTTGTGTGGACGTATGGTTTTATTTCTCTTTTATATACCTAGGAGTAGAAATGCTCAGTCATATGGTACATTTATGTTTAACCTTTTAAGGAAGTGCTAAACTGTTTTTCCAAAGTGGCCTCGCATTATTTTGCGTTCCCACCAGCAATGTTTGAGAGTTCCCATTTCTCTGCACCTTTAATAGTGGTTATTCGTCTTTTTAGAAATTATTATGGCCAGTCTAGTGGGAATAAAATTGTATCTCGTTGTGGTTTGTTTTTTTGTTGTTGTTTTTTTTTTGCATTTCCTTATTTCCCTGATGACTAATAGTGTTGAACGTCTTTTCATGTGTTTATTAGCCTTCACAAATTGTCTTTGGTGGAATGTCTACTCAAACCTTTTTTCCTAGTTTTTAAAATTGGGTTATCTTGCTATTGAGATGTCAGTTCTTTGTGTGTTCCAGTTACAAGTCCTTCATAGATAGGTGATCCGCAAAGATTTTCTCCTGGAGAATGCTGCGTTTGGTTTGTTTTGGTAATGATGTTAACCATGAACCTTGCTTAATTTTTCTCATTCGCTATGGGGGCTTTTCTAGACAATTGGAATAAAAGCTAAATCTTTTCTTAATTCTTCCACGTGTCTAGCTAGTACAGAAGTAGAATAGACGATGACAGTGATAGTCACCGCCACCTGCGTTTTGCAGTTAAGCAGTGAGAGACTTCTTTCGGAACCCTGAGAAGCAAGTAGACACACTGGGGGAATTAGGGCTCTTTCATCTGTAAGAGGCAGAAATCCAGTTTAGACCCGTAAGCAAAGCAGAATGCCAGTGTTCCTCACTTCTTCAGCTCTGCTTCTTTGGCCGAACCTTCACATGTGGCTGCGTTGATCTCCAGATTCAGTTCTTCCCGGCTCGGCAGAAAGAGCCAGTCTTTCCCCCTGGCCGAAGAATGGAGTACTCTGGCCAGGTTAGGTCTCTTGCCCTGCTTCTGAGAGATGTGGAGCATCTGGATTTGCAGTCCTGTTTTAACACGGGAAGGAAGGAGTCGCTCCTTCTAGAAGGACGGACGCCAGCAGACAGACTATGTATATGTTTGCTTCTTCAGGGCTGCCAGGTCATTTTTTTGCCCACTTTTATGAAATGAAACCAAAAGTAATGACTAGAAAGTTGATACCTGGAGTTTTTGGGGAAAAAAACACATTTGTTACCTGATTAATTTTAACACTAAATTAGCCTTTACATGTAGTACTTTTTCTTATCTAAACAAATTCATGTGATGTGTGCTTTAAATGAAAACATTTCATATCCCCCTTCCCCCTCCGATGGAGGCGAGAGGCAACCGACCTTAGCAGTGATAACAGCTTGGTAACTGTGGCTGATTGTTCTGTACATCTCTCGAGAGTTCTTTCCTGTAGTGCTCTTTAGCTTTCTGAGGGGGGCTTTTACCCATCTCGGAGCGCCTACATTCCTTCAGATTGCTGAAATCCATTTTTTTATAATTAGTTTCCTTCCTCTCCTCTTTCATTTACTTGGATTCTCAAACTCTGTCAGTGTCCATATGTTGAATGATTCATCCTTGAAGTGATTTTTTTTTTTAAAGTAAGGCTAGTTCCCAGTTCTTTTCGTGATATTGGGTGTGTGATGTATATGGTGGTGGTGACGACGCTGTTGATGAAGTTGTGATTTTCCTGCTCAAAAAGGAAATAATTGTTATCACTTAAGTGTTTCTTATCTAAAGTCTTTAATAGCTCTAACT